CTGATGTCCGGTCTATTACTACTACTACTTAAATGTCTTTGGGAAAAACTGATTATTTTATTTGACATTTAACATTTATCGTTGTTTTTAATTTTTTTTCTAGATATTTGACATTTATATATCGACGCTTGAAAGGCAATCATTACCAAGCGACATATTGGCAACTTTACACTAGAGCATTTAAAAAGTTTTTTTGAAAAAAAAATCGTAAAAATCGCCTATTACTCATACATAAGAATCAGATTAAAGGCTTAGTAAACTGGCATTTAAATATTATGAATTTTCTCAATATTTAATGAAATAGTGTTGGTTAGTAATAATTTCATCAAAATCACAGGTAAATGTTACTAATCGACATCAAAATTTTATTATAAATCAAGTAAAATTAGCTATACCTCATTATTTTATAATTGTATTTAATGACAAATGACGCATCCAGAAGTCATGCATATTTGACATATAGGTAAATGATCTAAATAGAAATCAATAAACTTTTCTGCCAGCCAGTTTTCATCATAGTGCAAATTAAATAAGGTAAATATAGATTTTTTTTGAACAAGTAACAATGAATTAAGGTATTACTACACAAAATCAAGGATTTTTGGGCAAAGGTTTTGGACGGACATCGTTACCATCATTATCATTACAGCCCTTGTAGTAATCTACAATCACACACTACTGAGTATGGGCCTCCATCTGATGAGGCATGAATTAGAGCATAATCCACCACGCTGCTCTAGTGCAAGTTGATAGAGGTTTTAGGCCAGTCACTAACCCTTTGTTAATGACGTCTATAGTTACCTGAAACACACGAATATTATAGACAAATCTCTCGCTGATCTTATAAAGAATGTGGGCTGTCGTGGAATATTTAAGATTTCTTAAATCTAAAAATGTAAAATCGTAAAAATAAACTATAATAATTACTATTATACTAATACTATTACTAAAATAAGTAATTGTTAAATCGGTATAGGTAGGTAAAACACAATTTCAACCAAGAAGAAAATTGCTGTCAAGTTTTTAAAATATTCTAAGGTTACAAAAACGTTTCACAATCAAAACAACACGAGCGAAAATATTTTGGTAAACTATCAATTAAACAACACAATTAAGATCAAGTTCTAAAAATTTAGAGTTTTAGTTACTATTAATTAGGTATATATACCATATTAGGTTGCCTAAGCGACAGTTTGGTAAAGACTAATTGATATTTTATTACCAACAGCCACTCAAAATCTGCTTTACAATGCGTATAAGCGAGAAAACAAAAAAAAAACATGCAACAGAGGTAAGCCCATTCTTATACAATTTCATATCAGAAATAGTTATCTTAGTAAGAAAAACAGTAAAAAAAACGGCAGGTAAAATATTACCAACCGACAAAATATGTCTTTTCTGACGGGAAATATTACTATATTAAGTCTTCAAGTTCATTGCATTTATAAAAAAAAAACTAAGTGGAAATGAGTACATAATTAAGGTGTGTTAAAAAGTCTTAAATGACGACAAAAAAAGTTAATCGGTAAAATTTCTTAAGTAATATTGATACCTTAGATACCGTTAGAAAAAAACACTTTATGTTTTACCGCATTAATTTGAGTCAGGGCAAAAATTACTAAGTTTATAAAGTTAAAATTGAATACCTAACAAGAAATATCGACGTAGAATTTTTTTGCTGGTTTTAATGATGTATATATAACTCAATATCGCCCAAAATGTCGCTTGGTAATTATTGCCTTTCAAGCGTCGATATAAACATTTATATATTTAATTATATTTTTGACATGCATTTATTGTAATTTAAAAACATGATGCTAAAATATTTTTAAATAGTTACATAATTACTTTTCTTTATTGATTTACTTATTTAAATTGTAAAAATAATAGAAAACTATTGGTAAGTCCAATTGTGCACGCCTTAAGAGCATTAAAAAAAATTACGTATAACATGATTATAATAATTTTTTAAAGTAGTTTAAATACACACAAGGTTTTAATAATAACCTTATTACTATATTTCCAATATTCCGATAATTTTATGTCAAACTTCAATTAAAAAAAGTTTGGAAAATCCAAAAATGCACGATTCATATTGCTCATATGATTGTGAAAAAAAAAATGTAAATTGTGGTTCTATTCGTTAAAGAGTTCCAGAAGCAGTAACCGAAGTACACGTTCAAGTCACTCCGTTAAGTCCGGAGATAAGGTCTCATCATAACTAACAAAACGAGGCCAAACTCGGCACATCTGGTTTTTCTCGTCAAAGAGTTCCAGTAGCAATCATCAAAGGCCACCTTCAAGTAACTTTATCAAGTCCGGAGGTAAGGTCTCATCATAACTAACAAAACAAGGCTAAACTCGGCACACCTAGTTCTACTCTTCGAGGAGTTCCAGTAGCATTCACCGATGTACACCTTCAGGTTATTCTATCAAGTCCGGATATAAGGTCTCATCATAACTAACAAAACGTGGCCAAACTTGGCACACCTAGTTCTACTCTTCGAGGAATTACAGTAGCATTCACCGAATTACACCTTCAGGTCATCCTATCAAATGAGGAGATAAGGTCTCATCATAACTAACAAAACGAGGCCAAGCTCGGCATACCTAGTTCTACACTATGAGGAATTCCAGTAGCATTTACCGAAGTAAAACTTTAGGTCATTCTTTAAAGAGATAAGATCTCATCATAACTAACAAAACGAGGCCTTACTCGGCACATCTAGTTCTACTCTTCGAGGAGTTCCAGTAGCATTTACCGAAGTAAACCTTCAGGTCATTCTATCAAGTCCGAAGATAAGCTCTCATCATAACTAACAAAACGAGGCCACACTCGGCACACCTAGCTCTGCACTACGAGGAATTCCAGTTGCATTCACTGAAGTAAAACTTCAGGTCATTATATCAAATCCGGAGATAAGTCCATATATCTAAATTAGCAAGCAGACTTAGTTCTGCAGTATATGCTGTAAGAAAGATTAGAAGTCTCACAGATGTTGAGACAGCTAGGTTAGTGTAGTTACTTTCATAGCGTAATGTCAAGAGAGTCGTACGGGCGATTTATAATCTAAATTGTTAAGAGTCCCTCAGAGAAAAATTTAAAAAAATAAATATATTAACTTTGGCATCGCAATATATTTATTAAAATGTAATGTATGTACATAAAAACATAAATAGCTTTAATAAGAATAAGGATGTTCATACCTTAAACACTAGGAACAAACATAAGCTTGTAATGCCAGTTACTAGACTCCACAGAATTAGTAATTTATTTATGGGGCAATGTATACGCTTTTACAACAAAATCCCAGAACATGTTCAAAGTTTGTCAATAAACAAGTTTAAAAGTTCTATTAAAGAAAAACCGTACAAAAAGGGTTATTATAATATCAAGGAATACATGAATGAAAATAACCTCTGGGAATAAGGTGATTTTGAATTATTTTAGAATCGACTACCACCTATATTATTTGGTAATTTAAAAAAAAATTTTGCATGCCGTATCTCGTGGCTAAATAGGTCTTTAAGCAACTTATTTTTATTTTAAAACTATTCTATCACTACTATCACTTACCCTATTTGTGGCAATTAAAGAAATTTGAATTTGAATTATTATGTAATAATCAATATTGAATAAAAATCATTCTATTCTATTCTATTCTATTCTATTCTATCTTAGTTCTCACGACTGACAACGCATCTGCATTTTAATTCGCAAACGAAGATAGATGTAGATGTCTATGGGCCACAGTAACCACTTACCATCAGGTGGACTGTGTGCTCGTTTGTCACCCTTATTCTATAAAAAAATCACTACACAAGCTACTTGTTGAGATTGATGTTACATCTTCAGTATTTTGTTAAAATTATTGCAATCCGAGTAGGTGATATGTGGCACTAGACTATGCTCTAGACCTCTAGAGAAATTAACTTTAAGAATTAAGTTGTGTTTCAGATTTTTTATTCTTTCACATTTTTCAATTTCTCATAGCAATGTTGTATGAGAAATACTATAAGTTTTTGTTATTACCAACAAAGAAGTTAAGTAATGACTTAACAAGTAGTTTTATAATTTTAATCAAATATTGTATTACTGTAAAAATAATAACGTCTCTTCTTAAGCCAGAGTAAACTCAAAGCTTATTGATCAATTGCGAAACCATAATGAATCTAAATAAAGCGGAAATTGCGTCTTACAATTTCCTCCAATGGTTAGGTATGATCAAAACAGCGAAAGAATACAACGAATTCTTAGCATGGACTAATGGACAAATTATTACTTATGTATTTAAAATTTAGCAAAAGGTCATTTTAAAAATTTGCATTTTGTAGAAAAATAATTAATGTGTGAGAGTAGAGGTAAAATTATATGAAATAAAAAAAATGTTTAAGCAGACCCAAAAAACTACATCGAATTACTATACGTTTCTAAATGTCATTTTGTGTTAAATTCGTTCTTGTTCCGTTTTTAATATGTTAATGTCAATTATTTGCAAACTAGTTATTTATAGCCCTAAATAATAATAAAAAAATATTTTAGCAAAATGCAAAAAACTAGAGAATAACGAGTTAGCCGTGGTAGCTCAGAGGCTAAACACTCGCCGTAAATCAAAGAGTACGCGAGGGGCCCAGGTTCGTTCCCCGTCTGGTCCAAGGGAACTAATATTTATAACTATTTTCTGTACTAATTCACTAAATGCCTAAACTGACGCTTGAATTTATTTAATGATCCTAGATCAAAGTTTTGATTTATGGTAATCACTGACAAACAAAAAACTTAATCCAAACTACCCTGTTGATATTTGAAGAGTACGAAAAATAAAATATAAAAGCACTTTTGCATGTATATTATTACAAAATGACGTTTTTGAAAATCAAAAACAATTATAAAATAAATATTTAATATAAGTTATGTTTATATTTTTATACTACGAGGGCGGGATGATAAGTAACTTGCCTAATAAAAAAACACTTAACTTTCCGTGATGAAATTAATTTTATTTTTCTACATAGTCTCCGTGAACTTCTACGCACTTATTCCATCTTCGTTCTAAAGCAGTAATGCCTTCCATAAAACGATTTCTTTCGAGGCTTGCAAAATACTCCTCTACTGCGGCTATGACCTCATCATTTGTGGCAAATTTCTGTCCGCCCAAAAAAATTTTGAGCTTAGGGAATAAGTGAAAGTCTGATGGCGCTAGATCAGACGAATAAGGTGGGTGGGGCAGCAAATCATACTTCAATTCGTTGATTTTTGCCATAGCTTTAACACATGTGTGAACCCTAGCGTTGTCTTGGTGAAAGATGATTTTTTTTTCGCCAAACCTGGTCGTTTTTGCTGTATACATTGATGAAGCTTATCTAGAAGATTAGCGTAGTATTCTCCATTAATTCTTTGACCTTTAGGAAGGTAATCTATCATCAAGGTCCCATCTGCATCCCAAAAGACGGAAGCCATCACTTTTCCAGCCGACTTTACAGCCATGGCTTTTTTTGGAGCCGGGCATCCCGATTGAGTCCACTTGTTTTGATTGAATTTTTGATTCTGGCGTGTAATGATGAACCCATATTTCATCTGTTGTTACAAATCGACGTAAAAATCGGCCTCAAAACTCTGAAAACGGTCCAGACATTCTTTTGAGTTTTGCACCCGAATCCTTTTTTGATTGTGTGTAAGCAATCGCGGCACCCAACGGGCCGATAACTTTTTCATATTTAATTTCTCACTTAGGATATGATAAACCCGTTTTTTTGAGATACCTGTAGTGTCAGCTATTTCAGATAACTTCAATCGTCGATCTGCTAAAACCATATCATGTACTTTCAAGACCATTTCCGGAGTCGTGACGCTTTTTGGATGTCCGGGGCGACCTTCATCTTGGACATATGTACGACCGCGCTTAAACTCAGCCACCCAGTTTTTTGCAGTGGCATAAGAAGGAGCACATTCACCCAAAACATTCTTTAACTCATCATAGATATCTTTCCCCTTCATGCCCTTCATATGAAGAAACTTTACGCTCTTTGTTCAATTTTATCCATTTTGAAAACAGTTGACGAAATATATTTTCAAATGACAATCAATAAAACTTTCACGCCACCAAATTAAAATTTAGAACACAGGTGGCCAGAGATACGAATTTAAAAATGACATATATATTTTTTTAATTTTAACATTTTAAATAGCAGTGGCTAGTTACTTATCATCCCGCCTACGTATTCTGAGCTCTTCTGAGTTATTCCCGGATTATACTCACGGTCCTCCTCACTAGTGCTCTCTGTAGAGAGCAATTAATTATGGAGTCTGTGACACAGCGGAGTTTTGTTATTATAGTATGTGCTTGGTTATGACCACAGAACAATCTTCACCAAATAATACCTATATAATCACTACAGACTCTACCGAGAGGTAATGTGTCACTGTAAGTATCATTGCTTGTATCTGAGGTTAGTTCTGAGGGTTTGGTTACTTGGATAAAAATCATCATACTGGAGCCATTTTTTGTCTGTTTGTTCTGTCCGTTTTTTGTCCGTTATCAGTTGTAGGCATGTAGTAGTGTGCACCACTAAAGAAGTGACTATATTAGCTAGATTACCGATTAAATATTGCTGAAATGAAGTCAATGCGTTTTAATTGGTAATCGACTATTTAACATAATTTTTACACGGTAAATTGAACACTAATGTAAAATACAACCACAAGACAAGCAAAACATATAAAGTAGTAGAGTTTGTTTAGGTAGTAGAGCCATGCTACAGTTATATTAGTAATATATTTGTAGCAAGAATGGGTCGGCTCGATCACGCTCTCATAGAATACCAGCGTAAAATAGCAGCTTAGCACTGCTGTGTTTGGTAGGGTTAGTGTAAATAAGCTGAGATCCTTTTTACTGGAAAAGAGGCATTCCGTCTTAGTCCTCACGTGTGACAACGCATCTGCATTTTGATTCACAAACGAGGATAGATGTAGAAGTCTATGGGTAACAGCAACTACTTACCATCAGGTGGACTCTGTGCTCGTATGTCATCCTATAAATTTTAACGCACCTCTATTGTAGTTTTTTAGATTTTTATTATGTCAAATATAACATATTTATCTTAACCTAACATATAAAAATTAATATCTGTTTGTTCGTATTTTATGCGCTGTCAAACCGTTCATCAGGTTGCAGTAAAACTCTGCCTGACAAAATATATTATAAATATACAGGAGGCGTGTGCAGTTTTTAATAAAACAACCTCTAACGTGACTGAATGACTGACTTACAGACAACCGAAACTGATGAGTCAAGGAGTTTTGACATTTGGAGTTAAAATTCCTTCAGTATCTCACAGGTGTGGCCGAATTAAACATTGGACGAGTGAGTGATACGAGTATTGTGGCAAAAGCCTAAAATACTGGTACCTATATTTGTTTAAGGCATTTGCGATTTTTGTGGGGGTAGAATATTACTAGATGGTCGTAGGGGCGGGTCATTTTAAAATTTAATAATTTTTTAAAACGTCAAAATTCAATGTAACTACGCCATTGTTACGGTGTTCTTAACAAAAACCTTGAGGTTAAGGTGTTTCCGGAAAATCACCTCAGTGAAGTCTTTGAAGCCGTGTTATTAAATTATTTTAAACACTTACCCTGAGTAAATTGTGTAACTTACCTAACTAAAGTATTCAACTTTGCTTAGTAGCCTACCCACGTTTATTCTATTTTCAGGAGTTGCAAATTTAAGTTAAGGGCAGAAATAAGTTGTTAACAATATTAAGCCCCTCAGTCCTTGCTAAGCCTTCAAAATACTTTACTGTATACAAGAAAGGATTAAGATGAAATGCTTCATTATATTCAAAGGGTATTCAATATAATCTCATATTAAGCATATCAGTGGAATGGATAGGCTTGGTCTTACTGTTTGTAATTTTACTTGTGAGCGTATTATATTTTTCACACAGTTGATAACATTCAAAAATACTCTAACGAACATTGTTTGCTGTGACCTGGAGATTATAGAGTTTAGAAATTAGCTAGAAAGCTGTCTTTTTCGTTCGATGATATATTGCTTTTTTTAAAACATTACCCGTACTAGGAATTTCTCCTGTATATTGGAGACAGTTTACATACAAAAAATGCACAAAGCCAAACATCCCCCTAACCCCGGAACAAATAATTGAAGGCCATTTAAAACGCGTGGGATTCGAAGCCACAAAATTCATGGTCTAAATAACTAACTACTTACCTTTCAAAACTAAGCAGACGCTTCTTCATTCTCTTAATTTACCCATCTATGGTTATGCACATTGATATCGCTTATATCTAACACGATTTCCAAGCAGGATGGAATAACTTTTCATGATAGTATGTTGATAAAATCCCTAATCGCAAATAAGCTCTTTGTAAATACTCATTATTATAAGTATTTAAATAATCATTCGTCATCATCATTACATAGGCCTTCCCCCAAGAATGCCTCAAAGCACGGTCCCCAGCCACCTGCATCGATCGACTTCCTGCATGTCGTCACTCCATCTAGAGGGGAGTCGCCCTACACTTCGCCTACCGGTACGAGGCTGCCACTCGAGAACTTTTTTCCCACATCGGTTGTCAGTTCTTCGCGCTATATGGCCGGCAAATCCATTAGTCATCACCGGCAACACGCACTGGTTGTACAATCTAACATAATCAACCTGTACTTAGGTACATAAAGAAGACATTTTACTAGTATTACTTATCCCGACTTATTTCCTTCCGATGTTCTCAAGGGGTCTTTTCAAAGTATACGCTTTGCAAGTTAAGGAAATTGAATTTTTTAAGCGTTTGCCCGTTTCGAGCTTATATCGGATGAAAGTAAATGAGTATTTAGTTTAACAAAACATATTTTAAAAGAAATATTCCATGCGTCCATCTATTACAGCCCATTAAAGTCCTCTATTGAATGTACGACTCCTTCATAGATTCTCTCTTAAAGGAGATTTTACCATAGTTACCACACTTGAGGATGCTGCCACTACATGCGAAAGAGCAATATTACTCGTGAAAGATTTTCTCACCCAGTCCGCAATTTCTCAAATCAAGCGGTTATTTATCGCGGACGTGTGAAGTCCGTCGTGTATTTTTCAGAATATGGTGTTTTAATCTTATTGAGGGATCTTTTTTACACGTATATTACTATTAATATTATTTTTTGTTGAATTGTTATTGTAATACAGTTTACATTCAACACTCTGACCTCTTACTGGTATATTATTACATTCAAGTGCGTTAAAAGCGTGTTTCGCTTCAAACCTCTAGAGAAATCTATTTAAAGTATTCTGTAATATCACCTCACTCTACAATTCGCTGGCTCAAGTATATTGGATTTTATTATAGTATATCTTATCATAAAAAAGTCAGTATGAATTTAAATTATATTTTAATGTTCTAACAGACGGATTATTGAAATTTTTAAATGGATATTTTTTAATATAACAGTTAAGTTAAAGTTGTTCGCTATGTAGTGGTGGCGTATGTGCATTCACCACCGCATATCATCCCGTGAGTGTCGTGAGAGGTGACTAATTGAAATTAAACAGAAGATGGGCAGTAGCATCTTCAAATATATAATAAAAGATATTAAAAAACTGCGACTACCAATCTACGCACCAAGCGTAGTATGTAGCGAATATCACCCCCATGAGGCAATCTATGGGAACGCCTATGTTCATCACTAAACATTTGATAGACTGAAACGAATGAATGTAACAAATAGTTGATATTACATTGTTGATATTTCTTTTATTAATTTTAATTTTCTATATGATAGTAATGTACTATTATTAAAGGAAATAAAATGAAACTTATGTCAAAGCTTTTTTAGAAATTTCTACAATAACTCGGTAGTTTCAGATGGAAGTTTCTATTTCTATTTTATTGAAATAGGTTACATACATCTTTTTTTAATATCATATTTTATTGTACAATAATATCGACTGTGTCTGTAGCCTTAGCAACTCAAACCTGGATGCACTTGTATCATTGTCACTTGGAACAAATTTCCGAAATTTGCCTTATAAAATATTCGCGAGTGATGTGCGAATATGTTCCAAGTTCATAAAATGAACCATAAAGATCACCTGGGCGTTGTTTTAATTGAAATTTTATTCAAATGGAGTGTGACTGCCGGAGTTCTATATTTTACATCGAAAGTTATCTTAGGAACGTATAATTAATCTGGACTGTAAACTTACGCTCTACCTTTATCATGCTTAAATAAGGATTGAGGTATTTCAGTGTGCAAATTGAACTTTGATCTTGTGGAAAGCTGTCTAATCAATTCCAGTAATTGGTTTTGTTGTTATTATATAGTGGAGACCTCGCAAT